ATCGTTCCGGGCGTGCCGACCCTCAAAGCGGCCGGCTACCGACCAGATGTTTTTCTGCCCCATCTGTTGGTCCACCCCCTCCCCACTCCCCACTCCCTGGCATCGCTCGAACGTGTGCCATTTTCCCTCGGACGGGACCATCGAGGAGCATCCTGGATCACCTAGCAAAATGACGCACGAATCCGAAACATGCACGGGGAATGGACGTCCGAGCGACGGCAAGACTCCCTCGTCCGCTTCTTCATCCTTTTACGCCCCTCGCCCCTCCCCCTCTCTCTCCTCCCTCCTCCCCCTCCATTCCCGTCGCCCACTGCACCTCCCGCGGCCCCTTCCAGTCCTCGATCCTACTGCCTCTCCACCCTCCCCCTCCCCCAGGCTCCAGAGCAGCAGCAGCAGGAGGAGGAGGAGACAGGCCAGAGCGATGGAGGGGAGAGGGAGGAAAGATGCGGACGCGGATGCGAAAGAGGATGAGAAGGAGGAGGACGAGGATCAACGGGGCAGAGGAGGAGGAGGAGGAGGAGGAGGAGGAGGAGGAGGAGGAGGAAGCAGGAGGAACATGAGGAGGTCCGGGCCTCCCCCCCCTCCCCCTTCCACCCTCCCTCCCTTTGCTCGAAGGGAGCTCGTGGTCATTCACGGCTCTCGACCCCAGGCGCCGCTGCCGCGTGCGCGCCGATTGTACACCACCGCTTGGATGCACGTGTGAAGGCCTGGGGAGCGCAGAACCTCTGGAGACGCCGGGTCCGCGCTGTCACCGACCTTGGCCAGGCCAGTCTTGGGCCCAGCAGCTGCGCATACGGTCAGGACGCTGACGTAGTGACCTCTTTGGCAGGAGGGACTCTGGTCTTCGGGCCGTTCCTGACGTCCAGTTCGGGGGACCTGTTCGTGGCCGAAGCCAGCAGTGCCCAGAACAGCCCCTCCGCTCCTTGGTGGCGTGATGACCGTTTGCCCTCGAAGGTCAGGAGAAAGTGCACTTGCACAGGTCCTATGGGCCGAGGATCGGTCTGGCCAGCATCCGTGTCCACGCAGGCGTGAGCAGTCGGCGTACCCCTGCTGACCAGTAGCCCTTGCAACGAATCCTCCCAGCTGACCACTCCTCCACCACCCTCCTTTGGCTGGGCTCGCGGGTTTGTATCTGCTCGCGCAGCTGGCTAATTATCGCGCACAGGGCACGTTCCTTTTACCGCGTCGAGAGTGGGTCCTGGCACACAGTCCACGCACACAAACACACATACATTGAGTGGATTGAAGACCTGTTGGAAGGTTTTTTTTTGTAGCGGGGTTTTCAGGTTCATTTCTGCCTGTTTCGTTCCCCCCACTATGAATGGTTATTTCTCGGCCCCCTGAAAAATGAATATTCACCATCCCACCCCCTAGAAATGAATCTTATTTTCTTCACTCCCTGACAGAATTCACGGTTTACTTTCCATCCCACTGACATGGACATTCATATTCTCAAATGAATATAGATTTTCCCACCCCCCCACAATTAAGCATTCATCTTCTTCCTTTTTGAGAAAGATAACCGTTCATTTCCTCACCCCCGAAAAAAGAAAAGAATGTCCCCAGCCTATTGGAAAATGAAATATTCATTTGTACATTTTTCCAATAATGCATATTCATGTTCTCACCCCCTGGCAACATGAACTTGGTAATTGTTGGCGGTCGGTTCGTAGCGTGAGTTAGCATACAACTCCTGGTTTATTGATCGCTTTGCTCACTCCGCATTCTGCCATCGCAGGCGTTTGCCTACGCGTTCGTGGCCTTTAGAGGCCGTTTGGGGGCCTCTTGGAGCCTCTTTTTGGGCCTCTTGGCGATTTTTATGTCTGTTCGGGTCCCTCGTCTGGGTCCGCTCTTGGAGCCGTCTTGGGACCTCTGGGGCTGTTTTGGGCGCTCTTTGATGCCTCTTGGGCCGTGTTGAGGCGATCCTGGAAGCCTATTGGGCTGTCTTGGAGCGTCGGTAAGCCGAAAAGGCGAGAACGCCAAACATCTTCAAACATTGAAGGAGAATCATTATTTTCTGCTTCTGTGGGCCCTCTTGGGAGGTCTCGTGGAGGCCTCTTGGGGCGACGTAAAAGCGCTTTGGGCTGTCTGGAGGCCATCTGTAGCGTCTTGGATCGCTCTTGGACCGTCTCGGACCACGTTGAGCTCTCTTAGAGGCCACTTGAAGCGACCTGGCCGGGAACTCGCCGGGACCTTGTCGGAACCTTGCCTGCCAGGGACCTGCCCTGGAATTTGCCGGGACCTGCCGGGAACCTTGCCAGGGTACTTTTCGTCCGGGGACCCCCAGGGGCGGCCCCGCGCGCGCGAACTAGATATTGTTAACCAGTTACCAGAGATCTTAGCACGCCTTTGGCCTGTTGGGCCGGCGAATTTTTCCAGGGGGGGAGAATGAGAATCCATTCTGGGCGGTCGCATATCCCCGACGCCCAGTTCATATTGTCAGGCGGGGGCAAATGAGAAAATTAATATTGGTCTGGGCGGGAAACTGTTCTTCTTCAAG